GCACCGACATCGGGCCGTGTCGAAGTCGATCCGAACGCGGGCCGAGGTTAGTCGCAGACCAAAGTCGGGAATATCGCGGACCGAAGTCGATCGGGACCGAAGTCGATCGGGACCGAAGTCGAGCCGCGGACCGAAGTCGATCGGGACCAAAGTGGATCGGGACCGAAGTGGATCGCAGGCCGAAGTGGATCAGGGCCGAAGTGGATCGCGGACCGAAATCGATTGCAGGCCGAAGTGGACCGAAGTGGATCACGGGGCGAGGTGGATCGAAGTCGGATCGTGGACCGAAGTCGGATCGCGGACCGAAGTCGATCGGGACCGAAGTCGGTCGGGACCAAAGTGGTTCGGGGGGCGAGGTGGATCGAAGTGGATCGAAGTCGGATCAGGACAAGGTACCGAGATCGCGGTATGGATGATCATCATGATGTGTATGCTATGAACCTTAGGAGAGCAAAACTCGAAGATGAATTTGCGGTTTCTTTGGCAGAAATGGCCAGACAAGTTACGGAGAATGAGATGCGTGCTGCTACAAAACCCTTGAAGCATAAGGCTCCCAGAGTAAGGGTTAGACGTGACGTTCCTGACCCTCCGGACTCTACACTGTGCACTGAAGAATCTTTGCGGAAGRTGAGGCGTAAGTTCAACATCTCGGAGGAGGTTGAACTGATACTCCCTTCGTCTTCGGATCGAGCGTGGGATCCCCCTGRGGGTTGCTTTACCATGTATGAGAGCTGTTTGAACTGGTGCTTGTATTTCTTTCCTATTCCGGAGGTCATCCTCGAATTTCTATGGATGTATTAGCTTGCCCTAGCGCAGATAAGTCCCCGCGGTCTTCGTCACTTGATGGGTATTTTCGTGAGGAGCATCGAATGTGATGAAGAGATCAATGTCTTCCATCTATTGAACTGGCTAGATGTCCGCGCGTCTCGTCCTAAGGAAAAACTCATCTATTCAGTTTCGGCTAAAGCGAACCGCTCAATCATCAGTGGTTTCCCCAGTAAAGATAGCTACTGGATTGACTATTTCTTCTATGTCCCGATAACTGAAGCATCAGTCGGTCCCCGGTGGATCAATAAAATAGTTAGAAAGTGGAGAAGAAAGGGTAGTTGAACCGGAGTCATGTCTTTGTTTTGTTGATCCGTTGGGCGTTATCTAACACGATATCTCTTTTTGTTGTGTTCGCAGTTATCAATCCATTTCCGAAGGTTCCACTAGATTTTCTCACGCTAGCAGAGTTACTAGCATCCGAG